GATAGGTAGGGAGGTGTGGGAGCTGCCTTCCTGGCATGTCGGTAGCATTGGTGCTCAGCACGGAAAACAAGATTGACGGAAAAAACAAACCAAAGGAAAAAAAAAATTACGCAAAGCATATAAAAGGAATTGTTTTTGGACAGATTCTATGCGTTCTTCGTGTATGGAAATGTATGGATTCCATAATAGGTGGCAGTATTCCAGAATTGGCCTTACATATTTGGTATATAATAGCTTAATAGTGTACGGGTCTTCGAAATTATGACTGAACCTTTTAATGAAGCCTAGCATTCTGTTTGCTTTACTAATGATAGTATAATAATGTTCTATAAAAGTTAGTTTGGAGTCTAGGATTACACCTAGATCTCTTACAATTTTGCTTTTTTCTACTATTTGGTTGCCTAATGATATTGCAATATGCGGTATTTCAATTTTTCTGCTAAATGCTATTGCGGTACATTTTTTACGTTCAGTTGAAGTAGACTTTTACCACACCAGGTGTGGAATATATTGATTTCATTCTAGAATTTTTCTGCATCGCTAGAATTACTTATTCCCATAAAGAGCTTCATGTCGTCTGCATATACAAGCAGTTTTATTTATTTTTTCAAGTATGTAGGAGATGTCGTTTATGTACAAAATAAAAATAAGTGGGCCTAAATGGTATGTCGATGCGGTCAAATGCTTTACTGAAGTCGGTGTATAGCGCTTCAACGTGCTTGCCACTGTCCAACGCTTTAATAATGAAAGATACATATTCTAGAAGATTAGAGGTAGTTGAGCGACCTTTAAAAAAGCCGTGCTGTTTACTTGTAATTAGATTTTTCACCTGCTGAAAAATATTGCCGTTTACGATTGATTCAAAAAGTTTTGGAATGCAAGAAATAATAGCAATTCCACGATAATTTCGAATGTCTGATTTTGCACCTGATTTGAAAATAGGTACCAAATAAGATGATTTCCAAATTTCAGGGAATTTTCCATTTTTCAGAGACATGTTGAAAAGACGCTCTAGAGGAAATGCGAGTTCTTCAGAAAGGTTTTTCATAAATATGGGTGCGATGCCGTCAGGTCCAGACCCTTTCGACGCGTTTAAGTTTTTTAGTGCATTGAGGACTTCATGTTGAGAAAGTTGGTTGACAGAGATGTTTTTAGAAATTTCAGGAATGAATGCAAAGAAATCGTGGTCACGATCTTCTTGGGAAAATGTGGTGTATACTTCTTGGAAAAAATTTGCAAAGAGTTTGCAAATTTCAGAAGACTTCTCACCTACATTTGCATCCAAATTCATTCGAGATGGAAAATTGCTACTTTTTAATTTCGTGTTTAAATAATTAAAAAAGTTCTTAGGACATGACTTGATTTCATTTTCGACTTTGCGGTTAAAGTCCTCAAATGCAGAGTTGATGGCTGTATTGAATTGGTTGCATGAGTTGTGATAGTTTCGCAAATTGGTTTCAGTTTTTTTTCGTTTTTGTATAGTTTATGAGCTTTCTGTTTTTTATTCTTCAAATTTTTCAGCTGTGGATTGAACCCTGCGGGAACCATGAAAGTGACGCCGGGTCCAAAAAGACCCTAATGCATTTAGAAGAATAATGTTGTAGAAAGTTTTAAATACTCTAAAAATGCACATTTTTGCTGCAAAAATCAAATCACTTTCTAATACATCCATATTTAGAACTTTCAACACTATATTTAGGGGGGGGTGTATCTTGCAGGTTAGCAGATATTAGCACATCTGTCTGTTTTTAATGGGTCAATTATTGATAGTTTAGGGTGCATTTATTTGTATATATTAGTGAAAAATAGGGGCTGCCGATTAGAACTCTTTGATGCTGATATTGACAAAAACACCTGTAGATCTCTGTGACATCCGTTTCATCTAATTAATTATTTTCAAAAGCTGAACAAGCTCAGATAATGTAAAGGACTCTCATCTTTAGTACTAGATATGGGCAATCAGATCCGTACCAGTTCAAAAGGTCCGGATTAGTATGGAGAGTAAATAATCCATGGCTCATTTTTTATAAAAATCAAATCAATAACATTTTCTTGGAGTGCTCAGATCGAAAACATTCAGGTATCCGAACAAATTATTAAAAATGACTTGTTGCCGTTGGTCGAGGCCGTTTTCACCACCCTTCACTACGATGCCGAAAAGAACTATTAGTTTCACGGTGTCAGAACCCTTGTCCTTGTCAATACATATTTGATGAGAATAGGTTGCTTATAAATTGTTCTGCGCTGAAGAGAGAACCTTCGCAAATTTCCAAACTGTTCGAAGTTAAAGTGATTCGATGAACCGTTGAAAAGATCCGGATCACCTATATGAATGAATGGAGTTCAAAGTCGTTCACCTAAGTGATCTGATTTGCCCATCTCCAAAATCGGCAGCCCTAAGTATGCACCTTTAGTATTGATAAAACGATCCATAACATATTGAAAAACGTTCCCAAAAAAACATCCAAATGATCCATAAAACATCCGAGAAAATCACTAGAAAAGTGTGGATGATCCATAAAAAATATAATTTTTATCAACATTTTATGTAAAATTTAGCAAAACAATTATAAAAATGTACCGCTAAATTTCTAGAGAAAGAACATTGAATTTGTACGAATTACCCATAAACATATTGCAATTGGTCTATAAAACATTCAGCAATGAACCTTAAACAAAAGAAAGTGATCCATAAAAAATCATGTTTGCGCGCATAAAACTATAGGCATAATCCACAAATTAGTCGCATATTATTCATGTTTAGGACACTATTTTTTTTTAAATTTTGATCCATTAGTTATGGAAAATTGCTCCACTGCATATCTACTTAGTTTTGCTGCCCTGCCCGTGTATTTTAGGTAGAGGTGCGAAGCGACGGGCAAGCGTCTAGAATTAGCTTCCAAAAGAAGATTCTATAATAATATTCTTAAGAAGCTTCCTATGGAAGCTTCATTTAGAAACTTCTTTAAAAAGCTTATTCTAGACGGTCGCTCATCGTTCTGCTCTTCTGACAAAAAAAAAAAAAAAACACGGGCAGAACAGTAAACCTGAGTAGCTACGCAGTAATGTAGTAATTTTCCAAGGTTTATGGATCAAATTAAAAAAAAAGGTCCAAAACATGAAACACATACGTATATCCTATAGACTATAATTGGAACACAAAATTATAGGAACGTTTACCAATAACTGTAACACCTACCCTAGGTATGATCCATAAAATTAACATTTATTTTCCACATTTTCTTAAGAAGATTATTATCGAAGCTTGTTTTGGAAGCTAATTCTAGGCGCTTGACCATCGCTCTGCACCTCTACTTAAAAAAACACGACAGGACATTAAATCTAAGTAGCTACGCAGTAATGGAGCAATTTTTCACGATTTATGGATCAAAATTAATAATAAAGTGCCCAAAACATGAATAATATACGTCTAATTTATGGATCATGCCTTTTCGGGATATTGGGATAACCCTGTACCGCCAAGCCCAGCGACAACCCTGTGGGAGATTCGGAGAGCTATGGAAACAGTCGCTGTCAGAAATGACAGACGTCGGGCTTGCTTTAACGGAACTGTGAGTTTAGATAGGTCAGAGTAAGAACGAGAAAAAAAAGAGGAAAAGAAGGTAGTACCATCTAGCACAAGTTTTACAGCTAAATAAAGTTAATTGCCTAAATTTGTTACTATACCTATCGTTTAATTAAATTGTAGTGAACTAGCTACTGAAGTAGGTTAGTTGGAGGTGAAATTCGTGAAAATATTGAATTTAATAACCCTATATTTGCTTAATCTAGATACTACACATTGATCCTACAATCTGGTAACCTACAATTTGTTCCTAAACGCTATATTCTTGATTTACGCTAAGTAACTAGTATGGAGCTCATTCTACATCATTGGCGTTCCTAACTTAAATAATAATTGAATCCCTAAATCCTAAATCTAGCAAAATCTTTGTTGAAAGAGTGACGGAAGATAACTCTTGGTTTGTAAAATCTCCTGCTCAGCCTCCTATCGCTTTTCTTTCTGCAACTGGTCTAGGGATTCCACCAGGCTGACCTCATTGGTAATTCCTTTTCCAGATTCGGATCCAGCACTCCTTGCACTAATCTTTCTACTAGCTGGTTTCTTTGGTTCCTTTTGGCACCTTCAGGATATTTGTGCACTTCGAGCACGTCTACGGAACCTCCTTTACCGCTGTTGTTTTACCAGCATAATTATATTATCTACGTGGTCATGGCCTTCACAAAACGTACAGTTTCGATCGCTGTTCTGTTCTTCACTCAACGGTGGTGTTGATCCCTTTGACATTTTGAGGTTATATCCGATGTTGTTCTCCAAGAATGTTCGGATTAATGAGAGCAACTTCCTCAGAGCAGTCTCGTTTTGGACAGCTTGAAGCTGAAATAGGTTTTATTATAAGCATTAAGATTGGTATGGATTTTATATTAGTTTAATAAACCTATTTCAGTTTCAAGCTGTCCAAAACGAGGCTGCTCTGAGGAAGTTGCTTTTATTAATCCGAACATGACTATATTTTTAAGTGCGAAAATTTGATTTTCTATGGATCACTTTCTTTAGTTTAAGGTTCACTGCTGAATGTGTTATGGATCAATTGCAATATGTTTATGAGTAATTTGTACAATTTCAATGCTCAGTTTTTAGAAATTTAGCGGTACAGTTTTAAAATTGTGTTGCTAAATTTCACATAAAATATGGATCATATTGATATTTTTTATGGATCATTCACACTTTTTTAAGGATTTTCTCTGATGTTTTTTTATGGAACGTTTTCCAATATTTTATGGATCATTTATTGGTTTTTATATTCAAAAGTATGTTTGCCTTCAAAATCCTATCCTAGTTGTCTCACTTTCCTTTCCTCGAAATATCGCTTACTGAATTCCGAATTAATTTGAATTTGTATGCAGCTCAGCTGCTAATTCTGTAACACAAAATGTAAAGTTAGACTTACCTACAACATTTATTTCCTTCGTTCCAGATCTGAACATCGAAGAAACGTACGAACAATTGCTAAAGTCCAACAGTGGTCCGGCTGAGTGCTGCTACGACTACTGTGGGTCAAATCCTCAAGCTGGTGTCTGCTCGAGGTGTGACCCACTGCTGTACGAGGACGACGACCCCGAGGAGGTTCAGGCGGAGACAAACATGCGAAAGGAAAGTCCCAATACCGGGAAAAGTGGATTCGCAAATAGCACGCATGCCAGCAACAGCAGTAGCATCAGTAATACCATCAGCACTCCCAGCAGCAGTAGCAGTAGACGGAACCTCCTCGCTGAGCTACGGTTTAGTAGCGAGCTGCCGCCCCGATTAGCCACGTGTCCGAGCATAACAAGCGCAACAACCCCGTCATCACCATCGGAACATTGCAAATCATCGCAGCAGCTTTTACTTCAACGCCAACAATCCAGAACGATCACCACCAAAAACACCCTCAGTACTGATACCCTTCCATCGAGGTCGTCGTCATCGGCATTGACGGCGACCGCAGTGACGACGACCGCGGCGACGGCGGCATCATCATCAGCCCCATCGCTAGCATCATCGTCATCAATTATTAAACTAACTAGTATAAAGTCGATTTATAACGTTTACTTTAATAACTCGTGGTCGATGAGGTTGCGGTGTCTAGACGAATTTGTCGCATGGACGAAAATCCTGCTCCAACTAGTCGGGTTATAGTTAAGGAGAAACATTGGGCGCTAACCGGTTAGGTCGAATGAAAACAATACACACACACACTCATACATAACACACTCGGATACACACACACAAATGCATACACAAAAGACGCCAGACGTGCTTATGCGTCAACCGAAGTTCGCCCAACAAAGGAAACTACTCGACAAACAAAGCAAAACAAACAAAAATCAAGTCAGTGTAAAACGAAAACAACAGAAAACCCCGAATTGTAACATCAAACAAACAAATAAACGCAAACAAATGGAATGTATCAAGAACAAACCAGTGATTGAGCAAGAAGAAGAAGACGGCCGAACGTCCGATTCGCAGTGCGAATCCGACCGAAACAGCTCCGTGAGGTATTTCAATTTGCGGAAAATAGCAACAACAGCAACAACAAACAACAGCCGATGATTAACAGATTGAAGCACAAAAATTTAATACTGAGCTCCTCCTCTCCTCGGCCGGGCTTCGCGGGTGCCACCCGTCGATCGTTCCTCCACCGGTCAGGCCCCAGGGCCAGTAGTGGATCAACCCGGACCAGTGATCTGGCATCTGCCGCTACGCTTACGGGATGGAAAATAAACAAATATGGGGAGAAAATCTCGGTGCAAAATACGGTTGACGTGTGCGTGCTATCGCGAGTGCGAGTGATGTGTTTTCATTACTTTCTTCTTCTTCTTTTTTTTTCGAAGGGAATTGGCTGTGTTTGGGAAAGTGGGTTGCCGATGGAGGGCGATCGATCGCGGTGCCGATACAAGTGGAAAGGAGGGGGGAGCGAGCGAATAATAAATGGGAAATGGACAATTTTAGGTGAAATAATAAAGAAATTATTAATTGTTAAGTAAAGTGAGAAAACTAATAGACGTAAACGAAAGCTAACAGTAGAAGAAGATAAGGCAAGAAAAGGTTCAACAGATAAACAAACATTAAACAGTTTTTACAAGATGCAAAGAAAAACCAACACGTGTAAGCAAGCAAGTATTTTTCGAGTTCGATTTTTTCCGTTGTTAAGTTTCAAGCTATTTTCGAGCGTTTTAGTGGAGCAAACAGCCAGACCGAAACCAAAAGTAGACGATGAATCCGGAGGGCTGGTTCGGGTTTGGACATTTTCTTGGTAATTCTATCGCTGCCGTTCGGAGAACACGATGATGAAGGATTAGGATTTGGCCAGCAGAGAGATAGGAAAAGATACATAGATTCACAGGAACAAAAGCGAGACGGTGTTGATTGTGGGTTCAGAAGATGGTGGAGCAGACACACGGTTCTTGAGTACGCCTAAGTCGCTACTATTATAATTAGTCCGTCAATTTTCACAACAATCGTTGTTAGCTGATCATACCAGGAACATGTGTGTGTGCACTTTATGGGGAAAGAGCTCTTAACAAGGCAACATAAATCGATAGCTGAGAGAGAGAGAGAGGAACGGATCCTCTCGCGAAGGACTTGGGAAGCCTAGTGAACAAATCAAGCAAAAACCACCAACAAACTCTACTTATTTAATCGTCAAAGGTAAATGCACTAGTGGGAATTATTAGCGAAAATAAACAAAAAATAATGAATACAGTTTCTTAACTTTTATACTCGTTGTTGAAGAGCAAGGCAAAATCAAGACGATAGGATTGTTTTTGTTTTTCGCAGCAGACACAAACACTTACACGTTCCCGTACACGAATGCCCCCCTCACGCGTACACGTATCCGTTCATCCGGTGCTTACGTGAGCGAGTACCAAAGGCTTTGGGGTGAAACCGAACAAGAAGAAACTATTGCAAACAACTCTAATACAAACACACACACACACACACCCCTAGAACCCTATCGTAAAATTGTAAAACTTAGATCAACCAAAGTGAAATTAGAGTAATCGGTCATCATGTTTGAAGAAAACTGTATCGTAAATTGTCGCGTTTGAGTCCTGAGCATGGACCGGCTCCACTGGTAATCAAGCCGGGTGCGGGAGGTCTACTAACGGTAGGGATGGGACCTTCGATTGGTTCCTCACTATCCGCTGAAAACAAACAAACACAAACACGAACGCTATTGCCAATGGTCGAAACCAGTGTACAAAACAACAACATTCGGTTCGACGACCTTCAAACACAGACAACCCGACATAACAGAACAACAACAACAGCAAAACCCGGCAACGGCTGCGAACCTTGGCCGAAGCACAAATGAAAACCAGAATAAACCTAAAAGAATAATAATAAAACAAAATTGTTAACGTTCGAAAAGCCATATTTTTAGCATTTAAATAGTAATTAAAAACAAATGAAATTATAATCAATATTTGTTACATAAATGTGAGATTTAAATGCGGAGGCAGAAGAGGAGAAGGGAAAACACAAATACAGACACAAAGGTTTATTGAACTAAAGGAAAGCAAGGAAGAGCAAGAGGCAAAAACAAACAATAAAAGAAATCGTTTAACTTTAATCTACGATCGAAACGAGTAGATAAAAAACTTAACAAAAAAAAAAACACACACACAGTGAAAAATAATCCTAGAGACGTCATCAAGTTGTAATGTTAATCGTGTAGGTCAAAAATGGTAAACAAATAAAAACACAAGTGAAGCAGAGAGAACCCACCCAAAGTTTTTTCGAAAAACCCTTAGTTCACACTGGTAGTGCCGGAAGCGTGGTGATGTTGAGTTTTAATTTTTATCTATTTATCAGATATATTTTCGAAAATTTATTTTTATAGAGATTGCAAAAAAAGAAACACAACAGTGGTATAATTAGTAGAACGAAGTCTTGACATCAGAGAAAAATTAAAAATATCCATCTGAAAACCGAAACGAATCGGCACAAGGAGAAAGAGGGGTATAAACAAAAGGAAAAAAAAATGTTAATATAAGAACTACTAGTGAAACAAAAAAAAAACACACACACACAGGAGGATTAAGTCCACACTAAAACAAAACAAGAAAACGTAGAGTGTATAGATTGAATTTGTACTAATTTTTAGGAGTAAACAATAAAAAAAAACAACAGCACAGACATACACACAGAAACACAAAACAACCGACACTATCTATCTCTTTCTCTTATCACACACAGACACACGTACAGCAAATCGATGCCAGAAGCAAGTAGCGAACACGAGAGCATGTTCGAAGTCGATTCGCCATATTTGTACAGTAGAAGATATTAAAAAGAAACTGTCAACTGTTTCGAGCTCGCCCGCTGTTTCAGTTTTTGCCCCCGAAACAAATACACACGAAACAGACAACAACTACTACTTAGAACTAAATAATAAATTGGAGGAAAGCCATGGAAATCGTTCTTCCACAGCGCGAAAGTTATAACTCATTAAGCAAAACAAAACAAAATAATTGATTGCAATTATTCCACTAGAGACGATAAACAAACAAAAACAAAGAACAAAGAAGGAATGGTGCAACACACTTACGCAAGAGACGAAAAACGCAAAAAAAGGAAATCAAATCTATTAATTATAAAGAAGCAAAAAAAAAACAAGTATATCTCTATCTAAGAACACACTCTATAACTAATCACTAAGAAGACGAGATAAAAAAAACACACACACACACACAAACACATAAACACTTGATACGCTGTGAAAAGAAGAAATGGAAACGGAAAAAAAGACGCATGTAGCTTCGCAGAAAACTCACACTCAAACACTCGAACACAAACACACTCACACACACAAATCAGATGTTAAATAGCTTTTGAACCATAGACCGAAGCAAAACTCGAGAAACCAGACAGCACAAATCTTTTACCGCTTTCGTGTAAAACCGTCACATTACTAACTGTATACTGTTCACTTACTTCTACTGCAATTTTCCGTTCTTTCCCATTTGTTGGTTACTTTCCTATTCTGAGAAGACAAAGCAAACGACAACACAGAAACAAAATCGCAATTCACATTCGGTTAGTTCTTTTCTACCGTACTCTAAACAACAGTTAGGTGCAGTTAGTGCAGGAAACAAACAAAAAAAAAACAATTAAAATGGAGAAGAACAAGCGAACAATTGTTAAACCCGTAAGCGTAAATGAACTTGGATAGGGGACTGACTGGACGATGACGACTACGAATAAATGTACACACCAAATCAACACACGAACAGGACCGTTGTTCGATCGGGCATTGTCGGAATGCAGAAGGCAAGTTTTACAGGGCAATTTTCGGAACGTAACTAGTGGGACAAAGGACAAAGGACGCTGTGTTCACGGGAAGGTTGGATGATTTTAAGGTGATGCAATGCAGGATGGCTGGCTGCCACTTCAAATTTTCTATGGAGTAAGCATCGGACGATAATGCGAATTCAAGCAAGAAAGTTGCTTCTCCATATTTACTTCATCGCAGCAAACATAGGGAAGCAGTTTTCCTATTGTATGTTTTCTTTAGCTGATATTTATACTTCAGAAGATACGGAGTGGTATGCAGACCGTGTCACCTTAATGTGGTGTTTACATCTGTGCTGGTTTGCTAGCGCTAGTGTACTACCCAACAAACAATTTGAGTTGATTAATAGTTGAATAAGCTAGTTTTTAGCTGAAGAAGCATATTTTTGCCTGAATAAGCTCTTATTCAGCTTTCAATGTTTGTTGGGTAGAATTGTACTAAAAAGCAGTCAGCATAATGTAAACAGGGCGTCAGCATCTACCAGCATGAGATTTCAGGAGCAACGGAAATTAGTGCTAGTTAGTTGATATGGTGGAGCTAGTTAACTAGCATTAGTGTAAACAGTACATAGGGCACGCAAAAGTTCGTAAAAGTATTTTAATGCGCCTGTAGATTATCTCTGCGATCATGATCGAATTTTCGTTAACGTATGCACTTCCACAGTTGAGAGCTTTTTAAGCCTCTACCAATTTTCATTTCATCATGGAACGAATATTTTTTTGAAATTTTCACCAGCATCCAAAAATATCCATTTGTATTGTCCAGAAGACGCATTGCTCTTAGAAAAATTTAAGTGCTTAGTTGATCCATAGGCAAACATTAGTGCCATTTCCCCTATTGTGACATTGGGTCATAGTCTTAGTCATAGGTCATAATCTATGCCAACGGAAGCCGAGAAATTTTCCATTCCGTAAAAATCCTAGTGCAGACCGGGGATGGAACCCAGTCGACTCCAGCATGGTCTTGCTTTATAGCTGTTCCTTTACCGACTGAGCGAAAGAAGGCATCTGATAGAGATAGTTAACATAAATCCTTCAAATTTAGAAGTAAATAAACAACAACAATTCGACAGCGAGCATGCCTAAGGGCCTAACTGTAATGATTGATTCTCTTCATCGATATTCTCCTTAAATTGCTACAGCTAAGGAAAGCAATTTTCTGAATTTTTTCCAATACAGTGCTGTAACAGTTTGTATTGGCTATCAAAAGCAGCAACAAACACACCGAGAAATGTTAATCCAAGCGAGTTATTAAAAAAAAGAGAAAATTGACGAAGAGAATCGATCATCGCTGTTACACCCTTATGCATGCTCTCTGTCGAATTTTCACAATTCAAATACTACACGGCTGTTGAATCTGACTTATGTTTAAGTTTCATTTACTCAAATTCGCCAAAAATTAGGTCACTCAAAGACTGAGTAAATGCGATGCCAAATGTGAGTGACATTTACTTACATTTGAGTAGTCTATGAGTTAGCTACATGTTTTTCGAATTGAGTGAATGTAACCAAATATATTATATTAACAATATGATCCACTCTTTCGCTTAGCTGGCGAACCAAATTTTCAGCGATGAAAGCACCTCTGTGGCCAAAAAGGCTACCAATGTATTTGTTTATCGTCACGAGGGGTAAACCAAATGAAAATTAGTTTAATATTTCAAATGAATGTATTTCAGCATTTTATTTTATTTGATGACAACAGTGACATGTCAGACAAATTTTAAAGTAAAATACACAATGTAATTAATGAAAGCAATGTAGCTCTTACTTTTGTAATAAGTGCTATATTCGCACCCCTCGATTGTAATTGAATGATTGTTGTTGACCTTTTTCAACGATAGATGGTGCGTGAAGCAATATTTTGCGGGTCACCATTGCAATATTTGGAAAAGGCATGAATGGATCATATTGTTAATATGATATATTTGATGTAACTCAAATATGAATCAGACTCAACGGTCATGTAGGATCAATTCAAATTGCATGATTCTAATGAGTAATTTTTTACACAGTTGAGAGTAACTTTTACTCATTCGTATGGACAAATTTCTAAAAGCGTAGGTCACATGAGTAAGTGTTGAAAGTGATTCTCTCTCTCTGAGAAAGGTTCGTTTTCGGTGTAGTTATTTTTTGACTTCATGTGACGGTTCATCTCACCAAGCCATAGGTATATCCAGGCCTGTCACGATGGTTACTCATGGGTGCTTCATGATTATCCAGCTCCGAAACCTGATTTGTTTGTTTATGTAATCAAAACTCACAGGGCGCAGAAATCACGATCTTCATGCGCTTTCCTTATAAAACCTGTGAGTGATAATATAAAAAAAAAACTGTGGGTGAAATTGCACTGCAAATATTTATTTTGTCTTCATCCATGTCGAATCAGCGCTCTTTAATGTGGAATTAAAATTTTACCAATTCAAGAAATACGTTTGAAAAATATTTCACTTTCAAATGTGCTTTATCAATGTTCTGCATTCATCTAATTTAAAATAGATATCGGGTGCCCATCAGGCAAAAAATAGTAAATAGTTTGATTTTATTTGGGTCAACTTACGACTGCTCATGTGTTCCTGTGAAGACAGGTATCTTACTTTCCAAAGGCATAAAGGAATTTTTGGATGCACATTTTCATTCGACGCTCTCGAAGCGAAACATTATTGCTCTACCCCTTGCTTTAAAACGAAGACATCATATCAAAAATACTGTCAACAGTGTCAGAATCCAAGCTACAAATACAGTCAGTGCTGAGATTTGCCATTATCATTGACAGACTTTCGTGCGATATTGACAAAATTGTTTATCACGTAGTCACTGATGAACTTGATCCTCAAAAAAAAAACATTGACAAATACTCATTCAATTTATCATCAATGACAAAGGTTCACCTGGCAACAAAATGTTTAATTTCGTGCATTTTGTGTCACATTATTGTTTAACAAGCAGTTCAGAACGAAGATGATTGTTCACTTTAACGGCTCCTTGTAATTGCTTTGCTCAAGTCATTTAATGTCGCTACAAATCTAGCTAGTGAAACAATCTGCACATGTTCGTCACTGACAGCATTGTAACTGAAAATTGACATGGTTTGCCTTGACGATGACTGTTAGCCAGCTAACAGTCATAGTCAAGGCAAACCATGTCAATTGTCAATGACAATGGTGTCAGTGACGAACATGTGCAGATTTGTTTATTAGCTAAATTTGTAACGAAATTAAATGACTTGACCAAAACAATTACATGGATCCATTTTAAGGAACAAGTATCTACGTTCTGAGCTACTTGGATAACAATAATGCGACACAGAATGAACTAAATTACACTTTTTGTTACCAGGTGAATCTTTGTCATTGACGAAAAAATGAATGAGATTTTGACGAAGGTTTTTTTGAGGATCAAGTCTGTCAGTGACTATGTGACGAACAATTTTGTCAATATCGCGCGAAAGTCTGTCAATGACAATGATAAATCTCAGCACTGCTGTTAGCTCAAATGAGTGACGATTTTGGATTTCGTTCTGTATTATAGAGATTTTGCATCACTGGATAAAGTAGCGCTGCACTTGGGTGATGATGGAAACAGGGCATAGAAATAGGAGCAAATACAAAACCTTTCTTCTGAGATTGTAATCTTTGCTATCAAATTCAATCGAAACATTTACCTTTGAGCGGCAGAAAACACGATTGTGCCTGTCACATAGCGGTCGTATGAGAAAATGGAAGAGTTGCCAGTCTCCTTGGTAGGTTGTCTTCGGATAAAATCAAATAAAGTTGATTGAGATGGTTGGATTATGTGGTACACATCAGAGAACTTCAGAAGATTTCTGTTAAATCTTACTTTTTATTATTACTGATGAATACTCAAAGCACTTATATTTCACTCCATTTATTTACTTAAACCGCACGACTTATCCATCTGCTTCGCAGCGTCACTCACAATCAACTGGCCTCTGACTCACAGTATGCAATCTCGCTCGGCCTCACTCTTTCCCGTATCCTACGTATCGTTATACTCTTGAGCTCATCTCTACATCTTTCCCCTAGTCCGAACATAACTTCAATTTAATTACAGATTGTACGCATCGTCGAGGAACTTTTCTATTTATAACTGGACGATCTGAAATTGACTCCGGTGAATTCTCTCTGGTTCTCTTTAGCGAGTACTGCTGCGTACTAGAGTTACTTCCCCCTGTTACTTTAGGCAATGATGATGGGGATGATGCTGATCCTGGTTATTGAGATTCAAGTTGGTTGTTGACTGATTTGCTTGATCCCGGCCATTTTTTTAGATGTGTGACACATCGTCGTAATGTTACTCCTTCATTCTTCCTGACGATTATTACCTGAACGACTTATAACTTTGAACGTCTCCAGCTTAAATTTCGGTTCAGGCTTACCGTGTTCATAGCTTTTAAGAACAACTGCATCTACTTCACTTATTTCTGAGGGCTTTGCATGTTGGCGTAGGCCTGTTAGCTTCTCAATCACATCTCTTTCCCGTACTCCTTATTTCCGATGCCATTGAGGATCAGTTCGCAATGACGGCAAAAAATCTTTCACTGATCGCCCAGTTAGTAACTCCATGGGCGCTGTTCTGGTCACCGTGTGAGGCGTCGTATTATGCGTATAAACATATTCCTTAATTGCCTTTCGCCAGTCAGACTTGGTTGCTTTTGCTATTTTTAGTGTTCGCAGTATTCCCTGGTTCTGACGCTCTAACAGCCCATTCATCTGGGGCCAGTACGGAATAGTCCTAATCAACCGGACATTCTTACTAGAACAAAATATCGCAAACTCTTCACTGGCCCATTGTCCCTGCGAATAGTTCAATAGTAAAGTTCAGATAAAGTTCCGACCGAACCTTCAAGTTCCATAAAGTACAAATAAAGTCCCGGCAGAACTTTCAAGTTCCATAAAAATCGAATAAAGTTCTTCAAACAGCTCCAATTCTACTGCTAATATCAGCATTGTCAATACACATTAATACTTTCATTTAGAAATAACTTTCATAAAAGTGCAAACTAATTATATAATTGGTATAGAGGACAAAAACCTTTTTTTATTTATTTTCTAGAAGTTCCGTTCAAGTTCCGCCAGAAGCTGCTTAGAATGCTCTTCAATTAGGGTACCGGAACTTTCAAGTTCTTATAACGACTTAAAAATGAGGCTGCTTAGAATTCTATAGACCACCTTCAACCAAGCTGCTTACGCCACAAATAGCCTTTTATCAGAACTTTTGGTTACTTGGGGCACGCTCAGGCATCTCCTTTCT